GAAACGAGTTTCTTTTCATTATTATTCTGATCAGCAAGGAGTTCAATCAACTCGGTTCACCCGCGGCCTGTTCGGATATTCGCTCAAGACCATCTGCTCAACAGAATCAAGTTATTTCCATTCCAAATCAATTTTCTTTCAAATCCTTAGTAACTGATTCAGTGTTAAATCCTTAAAATGTTCACTTCACGGGATTTCAATCCGTTTCATCAGCCACAGTATTAAAAATAACGTAGCGAAGGCAACGCTTTTCTAAGATGAACCCCAATATTTTAACCTCTATACAACTGATGGAAAAAAATTACCGGCGAATTTAAGACGTGCCATCTTGTAAAAAGAAATGCACAATCGAACTCGAGAACAACACATTCCAATGAACACCCGCATGGAAATGCCTTTTTTCACCATCTTTCACGTGAAGTCATGAACACCTTATAAAAGCAATATCACACGCTGAATCCAATATCAACTCGAAATCCACCAGTTTCTGTAATTATTCAAGATCACGATTTAAAATAATCTTCAATGGTAGAAAGATGATGAACTATTCAGATTCTCATTATTCGAATGCGTAAATAACTTCATTTAATCCATAAATAAAATAGCTTGTCGCATGCGGTATCACATAGGAATTTTAGTGTACTCGTGAAGAAAATTCGCCTTGCCCCGCGTAAAGTAGATTCAGAACACAACGAGAGTTTTAATATGCAAATCCCGACTGAACTGTAGTCTTCGCGAATGTAGGACGTTCTCGATATTCAGATGATGGGATCCTGCTTTCTTGAAAGTTCTATGTTCAATGAATGAATGAACAGAAAGCTTTATTTTCCGCTTTTTCACCGTTCACGAGGTTCAATCAACATTCCCACACCCAAACCCCCTCCCCACCCAACCCAAATTCATTCAAATGCATCCAATCACTTCAGAATGGGAAACAGAGAAAAAAGCTGCATATGGATACCAAAATAAAATAATATACATTCCACAATATACAACTGCACAACTGATGTGCATGCGTATACACCCCTTCTTTCCCTGACATTAAAAACAAAACATCAGTAACAAGAATTGCAGCACAAGCCAGAATTATAGCAATTGCAGCAGCTACTGAACCCAGTTTAAAGCAAAAGTTCTTCAGCCGGTTCCCAATTAGGGTTTATTTGAATAAACATTTTAGAGAGAATCTTTGATGAGAAATCATACAAAGCCAACAGTTTATCTTGATCCTCTATGAATTCAGATAGGGTCTCTTCATTGAATGTTCAAGGAAAAAAACAAACTTTGTGTCATACCTGTGTGTTGATGCAATTACATCCCAGCAACTCGTTCCAGAGTTCCAAAGTGCCTCACCCATCCTGTGCATGTGTGTGTGTGTGTATACGTACATACATATCGCGATGGATCGAGCATGAGGTGTGATGAGAATGTGGGCCCCGGGTTTTCTTCCTAGTCATAACTGGGAGAGGTTAGGAGTGATTATATTCTCGCCGAGGCGAGTATGCGGCAAAAGGTTCAATCACCCTCGCTTCGAGGTTGTGCTGAGGGAACCACCAAAGAAGGGCTGGTGCATGCGTATATGAGCGAAGTGCGCTGCATTTTTAATTCTTCCCTCGAACACGTACGGATTTCATCGCCGTAATCATACTCGACAATATATAAGCGATTGAGGACTTTCTTAGCTTCGCAAATGTCATCTGGACAGTTTTAATACTGATGCACCCGAGATTTAAATCGAAAGCCAGATGCAAGAGTTATTTTCCCCTGTGGAATGGCAGTACATTTCGAGTACCACGGATTCGTGAGTAAGGGATATGGGAAAAGGGATAAACACACCTCAAAAGGGCAGAGGAAATTTTGGGTAAAAACATGTCCCTGCACAAGGCACGCAACCTTGTTTTTGATGATCAATGAATTCAATTTTAAAACCCAAAACAGACATAAATTATAATTTAATATATAACTTGAAAATATGAATAAAAACCTAAAATCAACCTATTGAATTTCCATGTTGAGCTTAAAAACGTTTATACTTGCAGCTTTTTGTCGTTGGAAATTGATCGTGTGATTCAAGCTTATTACACATAAACTGCATTCATTTCATTCGAAATATATTGTTGGAGTAGTGGCGATATGTTGAGAAATATTACTAGCGGCAAAATATAGTTTTCCGATACATATATTAGTTTTACGCACAATCCCCGGGTAAACATCCGTACCATTTTTCAGCTTTCAAAATTGATTATCCCGGTCCCGAGGATCCGCGAATCTAAGGCTAATCAATGCAGGATATTTAGATTTAAAAAAATAAAACGAAGAGTTCATATGATAGCTAAAAACACAAACCCCTGATCTAACATTCAATATTGGATCTTCAGCATTTCAGACAATGACAACTGACTTGTTTGTTGGTTACGTCGAAATGGACCAAAATATTCCCACGAGGAACCCGTAAAGTAAACTCACTCAATAAAACAATACAGTACAGTACAGTACTTTCAATACAAACAATAACAAAGGATGTCTCGTCATCCCATTTGGAGAATGAAGAAAAAAAAGTTGTGGAGCAGAATTTTGCAGAGAAGAGAAAAACTGAAACCGTTCAATCATTCGAAAACATTTTTACGCATTGCGTCAAACTCCCACACGAGAGCTCGCCGGCTCCGAAAAACAAATTCATAATCTTCTTCCTTCCTCGCAACACGTTTCAGCGAGTGTTGCTCAAAACCAAGATTTTGTTTCAGTTTCACAAATTAAAAAGAGAATATAAAGAGAAAAAAGATTCCACTGAAAATGAGTACTAGCTTAAGACGCCCGAAGAGAAGGGGAGGTGAACTGAAACCGCCCACCAAGAAACTCGACATTTTCTTGTTTCTTCATCGCTTAAGCTATGTTTTAGCATTGAAGGAGAAAGAAATACTAAATAATAATAATAATAATAATAATAAGAGGACTGACCGGGAAAGCTGCGCACGATTATTTTTCGCCGACGGGGAAAATTGCACACGCGTCACGCAAGCTTCCCCACCCACTAGTTCTCTTATTCCGATCAAAGCCTTTCCCCAGCAATGGGCTCGAATCCCCAAGAGAATCGTGATTCGCGAACTGTCAAGTCTCCAGGTGACGCTTAC